GAGGTACGGCCGTGCCCCCCGTCTTCGGATCGGCGTACCATGGTATTGCCGTACCCTCCGTCTTCGGATCGGTTGATTTTTTTTGAAGAGGTGGCATCGTTACCGTGGCTGACTCGGTCGACCATCGACCAAAGGAAATTTTCTTTCAAAGTTTCGACCAATCAAGATGTGGGCACCGCTTAGTTACTGCTGTAGCTAGGCTTAAACCAGAAATCCACTTCTAGCGCCTGCTGGGCGTACTTGTTGGTCCCGAAACTGCCCGGCAGGAGCAGTAGTGCCACACACACAAACGCGAGAGCTAGGCCAGCAATCTTGAATATGGCACATACCATAAATCGATATAGATGTACAGAATTCCTGGACGGAAGCTCGGAACTGCATGGATCCACCATGCGGTCACCTTACGCCATCGCCGGTGTAGCACACGCAGGGGCCAATGATCTCACGGTGCCCCTAAATGATGTCACCAAATCTCATGCACGATTGTATATCGCGGGATCAACAGGCTCGCCAACGATTCTTTACGGTGTCCCCAAGTTACTTCACCGAGATCTCATACACGATGGCATACATATCGCGAGAGACCAACAGGCGAAGCAATGACGTCATGATGCCCGCGAATCTGTTCGTTCTTGTTCTTCTTCTTCATCTCGTTGCTGTTGCTTCGTCGTTTGTGCCTGTCATGTTGTAATTTATTTTTTTTGTTTCCTGGTTTTTGCAGAATAACGGCGCGTTTGACAAGGAATTGGCTGCTGCCGCCGCCAAGGTGGACGCGAGCTGCAACGTTGCCACCGGGGAAGTCATCCCCGCACCGTTTCGCCTGTCCGGCTTCTTGGTGTGCAATATTCCCATCGTTACGTCCATGCTCTTCAACAAGAGCGTATATGTCCAGGTGTGTTGTTGTTGTCGTCGTCGTCGTCGTTAATGTTGCTGTTTTTTTTTGGCTGCCTACGCAGGATTTTACGAGTATCTATTATAGAAAAAGAATGGGGAGGGGGCACGCAGACTCTATCCCTAACCCTAACGCTAACCCCAAAGCACGGATTGAATACTTTTATCCCATGTGTTTGGGTTAATCAATTTTGCTGCGTAGACTGACTAACGTGTTTTTTTTTTTTTGCTGCTCTCTTCTTGCTGCTGTTGCTGTCGCTCAGCCCGTTGTTGTTGCTGTTCTCTTCCCGTAAAGAATACATTCAGACTTGGGTCTGTCCATCGCCGCCCCTTCCACGGCGCCACCGCAACCGGCATTCACACGGAACATGATCCGCGTTCACAAGCTGTTTCAAACGTGGCAAACAAAACGTTTTTGCACTAAATAGCAACACACGTGGTCATCTCCTCAACGGGAAGGACCTCGTTTCTCACGCATACAAAGCCCTGTTGCCCACGAAGGACGCATGTCGCACAAGGGGCCATCTAACCCCGGTGGAAGACGTCAGAACGTGAAATCGGGAAGTGATGTGATCGGCACGTGGAGACCAAGGGACATAGATGGGAGGGCGTGTTCCAACTTCAACGATTGTTTTTGGAAAGCTTGCACACTCATATTATGTCTTCGGGAGTTGAGTGCCGTGTGCTGCCATCCCACTTGTTCCAGAAAGATTTTAATGCTAATAGCTGGCGGTGCTCTAAAAGCCATATATTATAGAAACGAAATATCTGAAGCTTTCTCCTCCCCCTTTCTCCTATCCCCAACGGCTTGACAGGTGATATCGCACTGGGTAAACCAGAGCCTCAACACGGCAGTCAACTACTACAATCGGTGAGCAGAGCCAGCCGCGTTTGGGGGCGAAGTTTGATCCTCCTGTAAGAAGTGCCTGAGTCCGAGAACCCTTAAGTTTTGTCAGGAAAGTGTGGTCAACACGGCGATGCTTGATTGACACCGAGCTGAGTAGGCAGGAATCATATGTACGTACGTATCCATTGTTGTGTAACTCCCGGTCAGCATTGGGCCAACGATCAATGGACTAACTCCTAGAAACACTACCATTATATTTTGTGCTGTGCGTCAATTTTGGAGGAGCGGGGTGCATATTTCCACCCTTCTCAGTGTTTTCTGCGTGGAGTTCGATGGGATGGTTAATTTTTTATGGAAATTGGATGGTATATGGGATGGTAGGAGACGGGGAGTTCGATGGGATGGTTAATTTGATGGCAATGGGATGGCAGGAGATTGTGGATCCCATCATGTTTACCATCACCATCACCATCCCATCGGAAAATGGTGCCATCCCATCCCATCTGTCTTTAGACCCTAGTGCTTCCCGTGTTCTTTTGTTGCTGCTGCTGCTGTTCCCGCGATGCTGCTGCTGCGGCTATGCACGTGCCATGTCTACCTCACCAAGATCTGGAGCTGAGATGACGAACGAGACACTGGCTACGTCGTACGCGCTGGCGATCGGGACGGCATGTCCTCTCGCCTACGGCCTTGGCAAGGTGAGAGTAGAGGGACCCTTGGTGGGACCGCCTACGCAGCATTTTACAGAGTATGTAGAAGAATATTAGGGAGGGGGCACGCAGACCCTATCCCTAACCCCATCCCCAAAGCACGGATTGAATACTTTATCCCATATGTTTACTTGATCAGTTTTGCTGCGTAGACTACTGCCTTGGTGTCGTACGCATTGGCTCGCGCTTGCTTATCCCGAGACGTTCAGGAAAATCTCCCACGTGCACCGCCTGGCGGATTCGAAGAGTTTCGCCGCAGCGCTTTGGCAGCTGTAAAAACAGCGCTTTGGTTTGTGCAGCAGCAGTGCGGCAGTTCTTGTTCGGACCCAAACAAAGGCTGCCTAGTCCTGATGAGAAAAACCACGCCGTAGAAGCGGGTTAGATCTACAACGTACATGTTGGATGGATAAAACGTACAATCGGGGAAGGTGGGTAACGTTAGGGAATAGGGTCTGCGCACCCCCTCCCAGTTCTATTTCCTCATGAACTTATTTATCCCGCGAAGGCGGTCAAAGTTTGCCGGCCTTCTAACCCTAGCGCTAACCCTACCAACCCTAACCCTAGCCCTAACCCTACCAACCCTAACCCTAGCCCTAACCCTACCAACCCTAACCCTAGCGCTAACCCTACCAACCCTAACCCTAGCCCTAACCCTAATCAATAATCAAGCCTTACCAATCCATTTGAGTGTACCTTTTTAGGGTTAGTTAACCCGTGACGACGGAAATCGACCGCGTCGAGTGTTCTGTTGGATCAGTACGGACATACGAAGGTACTGGGTAGAGAGAGATCGGAACGGTTTTTAATGTGAAGACAACAACAACAACAACAACAACTATACGTTCATCCGATCTTCTAGTTTACCGGTCTTGTAATCCCTAGGCCTCACCGTACCTAACCCTTGCCGTAACCAGGCCTTCCAGCGAGCGCCCCCCTCGTTGAGGCGTTTCTCTTTCATTGGCTCCTACATCGCGGTGGCGGCGGCGGGCAGCATGAACGTCCTGTTCACCAGGGCTTCGGAGATCACCGGCGGCGTCCAGGTCACCGACGAATCGGGAGAGGTGAGGCGCGTCTTAGGTCGTGACAAGCGGGATGTTGTTGCTGCTGCTGTATTGTTGTTGTAGCTGCTGCTGTGCTGTTGTCGTGGTTGTCGTTGTTGCTGCTGCTGCTGCTGCTGCTGCTGCTGCTGTGTTGTTTTTGTTGTTGTCGTTGTTGCGGCTGGTGCTGTATTGCTGCGTTGTCGTCGTTGTTGCTGCTATGCTGTTGTTGTGGTTGTTGTCGTCGTTGTTGCTGCTGCCGTATGTTGTTGTCCGTTGTTGCTGCTGCTGATACTGCTGGTGTTTGCTGTGTTGTCGCTATTGTTGCTGCTATGCTGTTGTTGTGGTTGCTGCTGCTGCTGCTCTGCTGCTGCATGTTGTTGTTTGGTGGTGGTGGTATTGACACCTCAATCTCGTAAGAGTGGCACTACAGTCATGGGTCCTACGCAAGGCGAGGCCGATTCACCCCCCCTGGAGCAGACACCACATATATACAGCAACTTGATCATTCGATCTGAGCCGAGAGAGGTCACCCGCCCTGTACAAGCCTGTTCGTGTGTTCGGTGGATGACCAGCAGCAGCTACATACAGAGCAGGCAGCAAGCAGCGTCACAACAGCAACACAGAGAGAGACACACACACATAGTATACTGGAGGTGTATGCGGGGACGACCTCTTCTTGTAGACGACGAAAACACCACGGCCCTCAAAGCAGTAGGAACACTCACGAGGGACCGCAAGGTCAGTGTCGACTTTCCCTGATTCGCGGCCTAGCGTCTCCTGGAGACGCCCTATCATGCAGGGTGGCCTTGGGAAACAACCTAGCGCGACAACAGCATACCTACCGCAGTGTACCCACACAGAACGGCCCTATCGGTCCGCTATTACTGTATGTACCGTGCTGTGTCATGTCATGCTAGAGGACTTGCCGCGAAGGCTCATCCTTGCCCTAGCCCTCTCACCCACCTAACCCAAGTCGATACGTGTTTCCTTACTTAACCCCAACTAACTAAATCAAGGCGAAACGGTTTCCCATCCAAAGAGGCTTTTGACTCCCCTAGCCGTGATGGCCGATGCTAAGCCCTCGACCCTAACTACATGAACGCGAGAGGGGCTTCAACCCAGAAAGGCTTACAGTAGTGGGTGGCCCGATATAGAGGCATGTAGGGGCAAGAGGAGAATATTGTGCCACTTTTCGGGGCAGTGCCGCTGTTCGATGTATCGGGGTTGATGTACATGTTGAGATTGCTGTGGTGGCAAGACATTTCGATGCCACTACATACTTCAAGTTGCCACTTTTTCGGGCCACCCTAACCCTGACCCAACCCCTAACCCCTATCCCGTAACCCAAGGCGAGAGGGGTCTCAAAGAAGGCCGGGCTGCAGTGCGTTCTGCAGACCGTCGCTTCCCGGGGCCTGATCCTGCCCATCCCCGTGGTCGTCCTGCCTGCGGCCATCGTGGGGCTCATGAACAACCGTGGCCTCATGCCCAGCAGCCCTCGCGGCAAGATGTGGGCCCAGGTGAGAGAAATGTTGGTTTGTTTTTCATGCCATGCGCCGCCAATGTGTGTAGGCCACTTTGGAGAGGTGAGTGTAGTAGTCCCCACGGCGGCTGGGCCGATGTTTCTTGGTCGATTTTTCTTGCTTTATCGCCAAAATCCGAGCCTGCTTGTTGTTTCTTCGACGATTTTTAGAAAGTGTACACAAATCTCACCGAAAGACTATTTACCCGTTCGAGATATAACCCCAGTCGAAGGGGATGTTCTGAATTCTTTTCAGCGAGTGGAGGAAACCGGCTGGAAACTCTTTATCGTCAATTTCAAGTGTTGGACTATTATAGTACGGACAGAAGAAGGTACAGGGCAGAGAGAACGGAACGATTTTTTATGTGAAGACAACAACAGTGACAACAACAACAATATCTGAGCTTGTGTTTGTTTCTTAGTCGCGGACGCTAACTCTGTATGGGCGTCGCTTTGCTCCGTTGTGCGGTTGCCCCGCAGGTGGGGGTGCTGACAGGGTCGCTGGCTTTCGCGTTGCCCATGTCGATAGCGGTGTTCCCGCAAGAGGCCCGCTTCAAGGCTAGCACCCTGGAGCCGCAGCTGCAACACTTGCTGCTCAAAGACGGGTCGCGCGGCGAGGTGAATTACCTCTACGCCAACAAAGGTCTCTAAGGCACCGGTTGCGCGTGTGTTTGTGATGCGGCAACAATGGTTTCGTTCAGTAATCGAGTAGGTTACCGAATATGACACAAGATACCACGCCCCCTGGACCGATTTTTCAAAGGTCGATTTCTCAACAACAGGAAGAGTCACAGATCCGAAAACGGCGGCATTGGAACCGTCTGGTGGAGAGCTTTTCGAAAACGTATCATGTCGTTGATGCATTCTCTTCGTCGTGGAGTAATCGAGCTATGAAAATCGGTCCAGGGGGTGTGTTATCTTGTGTCACATACGGTATGTCGACGACGACCTGTGTGGATCAGTTGATTACGCAAACATATGGGATAAAGTATTGAATCCGTGCTTTGGGGTTAGGGGTTAGGGTTAGGGTCTGCGTGCCCCCTCCCTATTTGTTTTTCTAGATACTCTTAGTTTCCTGCGTAGGCGGTCCGTGGGGATCGGCTGCAGTCAGTCATTGCATCAGGGCAGAGCCGGCAGAACCGACCACACCAGCTGCATCATCCATTGGCTGCGGCAACGGAGGTCTCCAGGACATGTTGGTAGTAGGGTAGTGTTGAGGTGACTAAGAAAGGTTTATTTTAGTTTTTTTGTCCAACGAAGGTTTAGGTACTCCTATAAGCAATATTCGATTGCATCTACAGGCTAGTAGGTGACGTCAGCAGTTGCAGCTGGGACCGGCATTTGTCAAGTGGTTTCACCTGCTGGTTGCGCTTGTATGCATGCGCCTCCAGTTTTGTGTGTCTCGCCAACATTGGTCTAGAAAAGCAATTAGTGAGTTATTGGTTGTGGCGATGGGCTTTCAGAACAGAACTGGCCTGTTGGTTACGAGACCACTGCGAGGAAGCAGCCAGCAGCTGTGTCTGGATTTTCTGCCCCCAAATGGCGTTTGGTGTCGTTTCGACCGACCGCTGCAGAGATACAGCGCAACCCTTTGGGGGGGGAGGGGGAGGGGGGGTACTCATAGTCGTGCATGCCGTAGTCGTTAGACCATTGACCTCGCATCCCTGCAAAGCCGGGACGGAGCACACCGGGTCCTCGCCGGACCAGGCTCTCACATCACCAAGCGCGAAGTACCGTGAGTGGAGGGGGGGGGGTACTCATTTGTCGCTCGACTGTCGAAGCGCGTCGCCCCTTCGGATATGGGGCACCCTCTGCATTTTCTTGTTTATTTTCCTCATTGGCAATTTATGTTTTCCTCATGCCTGTCCTTTTCGGCCTTGGGCTGAGGAGACGGGGGGGGCGGGGGTCTAAAAGTGTTTGCCACGTGTTAGATAGCAGCAAGTTCCAGCTTTTTTCCATATCCCCGTCCTTTTGGAGGCCAGAGGCGGAGGTAGGTGTCCGCCTCGTTTCTGTAGCAGAATTTCCCTGCTTAATCGTCTTTTTTTGGCCTTGGGGGGGGAATCGGGATTGGAGGCGGGGGTGTAGCTCTGTCGCGAATTACGCCGACTGTAACGAGCGAGCTCTGAATGTTTGATTCCGGTGGAGATGGCGGCAATGTAGTCCGGTGTGGGCAGGCGTGGCGGGGGGAGGGGGGGGCGGGGGGAGGGGGGGGCGGGGGGGGGTACCTAAAGTCGTGCATGCCGTAGTCGTTAGACCATTGACCTCGCATCCCTACAAAGCCGGGACGGGGCACGCCGGGTTCTCACCGGGCCAGGCTCTCGGGGGGGGGGGGGGGGGGGGGGGGGGGGAAAAAAAAACCGGTTTTAAAGGGGGGTGTTCGGGGACAAACTTGGGGGGGGGGGGGGGGGGGGG